CTCCGCCGGCCGGCCGGTTCCCCCGCTGCCGGTACTCACTCACCCGGCTGCCCAGGCTCATGGGGGAGAACGACGACGGCGGCGGCGAGGAGGAGGAGGAGGAGGAAGGCGAAAGCCTCGGCCTCGCCTCCTTCGCCTCCTGAGGGAATGGCGAGGAAGAAGCGGGGAAACCGACGCGCCGACTCGGCCCGGCCTGGGCGCCCGCGGAAGATTCTCTCGGCCCGGCCGCGGCCACGGCCATGTAAGAGCCCCAGAGAGACACCGAGAGAGAGAGAGAGCGAGGCGGGCCAGGCAGGCAGGCAGGCAAGCGGGCGGGCGGGCGGTGAGGCGGCTCCGCCTCAGGGAGGAGCGAGGCCGGGAAGGAGGAGGAGGAGGAGGAAGAGGCGTCGTTGGCGGGAGGAGGGCCTCCCCGGCGGCTCCCTCGCGGCCGCTTTCTTGCTCTGAGGAGAAGTTCTGGCTTCGCCCCCCCCACCTCAAAAGGGACGAGGCCGCCCGAGGGGGAAGCCGCCAAAGACGACGCCAACTGGGCCTCCTTCCCCGCTCTGGAAACCTTCCACGGGGGGGAGGGGGGGGAAAAGGACTACAACTCCCAGGCTCCCCCAGCCAGCTGGAGACGGCCCTCATGGGTGGGGGACTACAACTCCCAGACGGCTGGGGCCGTCTGGGAGTTATAGTCCCCTGTGAGGAACATTTCCAGAGATGTCCTCACAGCTGGGCTGAGGGAATCTGGGAGCTGTAGTCCAAAAAGAAGAAGAACATTCCCAAATATGTTTTTGTTTTTTTGGTTTCCAGAGATGTCCTCACAGCTGGGCTGAGGGAATCTGGGAGTTGTAGTCCAAAAAGAAGAGGAACATTCCCAAAGATGTTTTTTGTTGTTCCCCAACCCCAGAGAAGTTCATCGGAGGACAAAGAGGGGAAAAAAATGATCTCCACAAATTCCCTTTTCTCTCTCTCTCTTCCTTTCTGGCAGTCACAATGACAAGACACACAAACACCCCGGCTACCTCTCTCTGCCTAATGGCAAGGCAGGACCTGCCAGCGCAGCACTGTGTTATCTCACAAAATAGCACACACACCCCCGGGGAAGATGTAGAAACAGTCCAGGAGAGAACACGTTGCATGCATAACCAAGCAGATTTTAAGGGACACGTTTCCCCCCCCCCAACCCTTGAAAGGTTCACCCCACCAAAACCACCACAGTGTCCTTTTGGTGGGGGAGGCAGTTTCATTCCCAAACATGGTTGTGGATACACCACCCATTCTCCTAAAAGCAGGAAAGGGTCTTCTAACCATCATCATCTTAGAATTGCAGAGCTGGAAGGGGGGACACAAGGGATCATCAAGTTCAGCCCCCCCGTCAAGGAGGCCCAGTGGGGGAATCGAACTCCCAACCTCTGGCACGGCAGCCAGAAGCCTAAAGCCTTAAGTATTTTATTTGGCTTGCCCTTTCTTGAACTGCGGCTCACTTGTCGCATGAGAAGAACTGGGCCGCAGGGCAGGAAACCCAGTGGCAAATAGAAGTCCTTAGTTCATAAGGTTGCCACAAGACCCTTTGCTTATTTTTTTTTGCCATAAATTAACTTGGCTGACACAAACACCCCATGGAAAATTCTTCTGGGCTAATGATGCATGTCGATATCCTTCACAAAAGGGGATGCAGTATTTATGAACAACCGTGGGGGCTTTGGAGTTTTCTTGGCAGAGATCCTGGAGTGGCTTGCCAGTTCCTGCTCCAGGTGGATCGCGTTGAGTCAGACCTCTCCACGATGACCTGTCCGTCTTGGGCGTCCCTGCACAGCACAGGCCATAGTTCGAATGCTCATAGCTGCATGTCGATATCCTTCACAAAAGGGGATGCAGTATTTATGAACAACCGTGGGGGCTTTGGAGTTTTCTTGGCAGAGATCCTGGAGTGGCTTGCCAGTTCCTGCTCCAGGTGGATCGCGTTGAGTCAGACCTCTCCACGATGACCTGTCCGTCTTGGGCGTCCCTGCACGGCACAGCCCATAGTTCGAATGCTCATAGCCCCCAGCTACAGTAGAGCCATAAAATCACAAGACTTTGCAGGAGTCTTGACTTAACAAATCCCATTTGATCATCAAGTCTACTCTAGTTGGGACTGGATGGTGCCCTTAGTTTTTCAAGTGCTGTTTGCAAAAGGGTAGTCGGTCATTTTATTTTGTCGCAGTCAAACTAGCAAAAGCCTTGTACTAGCACCTTAAACGCCAACTAATTTATTCTAGCAGAAACTTCCATGGATCGTAACCCTTTTCATGAGATGCTTGGAGTGTTTTTAGGCCTTGGGGACTGTGAGGTCAAACGCAAATTGTAGCCAGACAGTCCTCTGACAAAAACAAACAAATCAACACCTATGTGGTGTATTTTATTCCGTATATACTGTAAACAAAAAATCTGTTTCCCTGATACAGAAATGAGTTATCTTGTAACCAAACAGAAGCGGGTATTTGTATCTTATGCAACCCAGAACTCATTTAATTTGTGATTAAGCCCCAATGAACACTGGTAGAACTTGCTTCTTATTTCTTTTTAGGACTGGAATCTTCACCAGTGCTTCCTCAAACTGCAATCCTGTGAATGTCTATTCTGAACTGACTTTGAAAATACTCTCGGGTAAGTGCACCGGTTTCTCTTGCCTCCTTTGTTTTCTTGACTGAAAGCGCTTTGGGGCTGGAACCTGTCCTTAGGTCCTTTGTAAAGTGCCAGGTACATAAAATGTGCTCTACAAGGTCATTGTCATCTTCTGCTGCATAAACCTTTGTATTGTTTAGATGACTTTATCGGATTCAGGGTGAGCCCAAGATATTTTGTTGCCTGTGGAAGAACAGGATAGGATGATCGCCTGCTGATATCAAGGTCCATATAATACTCAAAGCTGGCCGCATTCCCAGAGAAGCAGCTTTGTGGTCAGACACTGTAGTGAAAACAAGAAAGGGTCTTGTGGTGCAGAACGAGGGTTGCTAATCAGGGCCGGCCCTGCTATTAGGCTGCCTAATAGAGTACGTGCAGGGAGGAGGCAGTGGTGGCCCCCTTTGCAGCCGTTGATAGAGGTTATGTGCCATAATGGTCCCCCTAAGTTAGCATGGCACCCTATGTTGCAATGGATGGTTCTGTCCCACAGTCAGGATTGGAGTGTGAATCAACTACCAGTCCATGGAACAGGAGGAAAGTGGGTGCCATCATGTTTTCCCCCTCTTCACCTCAGGCAGCAAAATGTCTTGAGTCAGTCCTGTTCCTACACTTTACTGAAGGTTAGAAGCAAGAATTTCTGTTGTATCTTCCAAATATTCCTACGTACTGTATGATAAATAGAAGAAGTGTTCTGCCATTATTGGTTTGAAATTGAATAGAAAATACAAAGTCAGAGGGCTGAAATGGAAAGAGAGGGAAGAGTATAGAAGAACCAGCACCTGCATTACCTTATGATCTTCCTTCCTGCCTGCCTCCCTCCCTCCCTCTCTTTTGTGTCACATCTGTTAGACTGCAAGGCATTATTTTTAAACAACATCCTGTCTTAAGTGCAATGGGGAAAACACAGTGCATAAACACTGGACATAAATAAAAGCCAGGACCATAAACTAAAAAGGCAGGGCTAATCTTGACCTGAAATCCACTGGATGGACGATGGGTCTGGATGGTAGGAGCTGAGAGAATAGCTGGGACATGACCGTTTGTCTGTTTAGGTAGCACAGTAACCCTATGGGGAGAAACCCTTCCTCTTGCTGTGCTTTTAGATGATTTTAAGTCACAACTTGCTTTTTACTGTGATACATTATTTGTGGCTTTTTGTGTTTGGATACACATATACACACTCCACACTCCACACACAGCATGTTGTTAGCTACCTTGATTTTTTTGTTGGGAGAAAGGGGAGGAATGTTAAACAAACAGACGGAGGCTGTAGGGATGAGATAGACCAGAGGTGCCATAAAACTTCTGCCGTACTGCAGAAAACCACTGCATCCTGGGGTCCCTCCGTTACCTAAAGATCCTGGGGCCAGAGCCTTAAACTAGGGCACCAGGTGGCTGGTGTTGAGGAGAAGCAGGATGAGATAATCTTGGCCCTTTAGGGGTTTTGGACATGGGGATCCAAGGAGCGCCAGCCAGCCAGCAGCACTACCAACCAGCCTGTTGGTAGGTTGTTAAGTGCAAGACTGTAAATTCCAGCAGCGAACTACGGTTTGTGTCCCTTGCAGTGCGAGTTGGCACATGATGAAGAATACAAGTGGCAATTGATTAACTAGCAGCAACTTTCTGCTGCAGTTGACATAATGGGACTTTATATCTGCATAACTAACTGATCAGCAGGATTCTGGCCTTTGTTTCTTAAATGGCATTATTGCTACAGAGCAAGCTTAAATGAGGGAGATCTTAGTGGTGCTTGATCAGATTAATCCTGAATTTCTAACCCTGTTGCACTTAACCAGTCTTCCTGGTTGATTCATTGCTCTTGCTTCCCTGATATACACGGAGACTCATTCTTAGAGATCTGTGGTGTGCTGGAGCACAGAAAACTTGCTGATAACCAGAGATGACCACATCCTTTCCCTTCTCCTTCCCCTGCACTGAACAGCTCACAGTAGTAAGAGGGAATATAGGCTTTTCTAGGATCAGGATCAGGAGACTGTTGGGAGAAACGTTCCCTCTAATTTTCCACCAGCATTGAGTGAAAATCCTGCCTTAGTTCTGGCTGCGACTGGAACTAAATCAGCGGCAACAGTTTGCCATGCAACCTAATTTGGAGTGGCTTGGCCTGGAGCAGCAGCAAAGACCCATAAATTTTACAAAAGACCTGCTCCCCATGGAGAGGAACACTGCTGGACTTGCTTAGTTAATATGGATTAGAACAACCTTCCAGAGGTATAGCTGGAAAGACAGTCATGCTGAGCACCTGTACTGCAGAATTCATGACTGCCCTGCTATTAAAGATGCCACAGTCATAGTCAAGCTCTGCTGGTCTGGAGTTGGGAGAAGATTTTTTTTTTTGACTTATATACCGCCCCATAGCGCTACAAGCACTCTCCGGGTGGTTTACAATTTAATTATACAGGCTACACATTGCCCCCCCAGCAAGCTGGGTACTCATTTTAGCGACCTCGGAAGGATAGAAGGCTGAGTCGACCTTGAGCCGGCTACCTGGGATTTGAACCCCAGGTCCTGAGCACAGTTTTAGCTGCAGTACAGCGTTTTAACCACTGCGCCACGAGGCTCTTGTGATTTTGTGATGTTTGGCAGTGATCCAGGGGATTAAAAGACAGTTAGAATGGAAACATGTTGGCG